TCCCTCTTTACGTTTCGTCGTTAGGCTTAATGTGATTTTTACATTTGGGCAAATTCAAATTGGGTCCCCCTCCCTGATCTAGCGGTATTTATGTTTCCTCGCTTCCCGTTCCTTCGGCTATAACAATTAGTCGGCTATTGATCAAACTTCGATTGAATGGTCGTTTATTGCTGCGCTTTCGCAGCCGCTCTTTGTTGAGGATTATTGCGCTTTTTCCCTCCTCATAAGTTTGTTACAGACATTTCATAAATATTTTTTGGCAGTCTCTTGACGCCGTTTAATGAGTGTTGCGTACTCCTGTGAAAGCTTTCGTTGTTAACTATCGTTCAACTGTGGAAGAGATTGCGTGATTATCGATTGAGAGTACAACGGCGGCTGCCACAGCATAAAAAATGTATTAGAGCAAAGCTGACGTTGCAGAAAGTTAGTCCTTTTGGAAATTCTGCCTGGTCTTACCCTCCAAATGAGAATCGTACAGCAATCACTGACCAAGAATTCGCAGAAAAAAGTTTCATTGTCTCATTTGATGGAGGATTAGGCTCAGATGAGGAAGTTGGAAGGTTGGAATTCCTCTTAGTCACTCAGTTTTCATTTCCAACAAGATCATGAGAATTACTTCTTTGGAAGAAAGCAGATGACCACAAGCTGCAGTCGTCACCTGGCTGCAATCCTTACCTACAAATAATGCTGACTGTCCTGCTGTTGGCATCGTTACGAGGATTTGGGGAGCAGTCGCTTCTACGTGAGAATAGCCTATCTGCCACATGCGATATTCTTCAACGGAATATTCTAGTATTAGGGAACGTGAAGTATTTTCAGTGCAGTTACGGCTGGAATTTATATTTGCTGTCTCTTATGCAAATATAAACATACGTATAATAAATAAATTATTAAAAAACACCATAAACAATGATCAGAAGTCATCGAGCGGAGTGTGCAGAAGTGCCGGATGCGGCAGCAGGCAGGAGTTGGCAACGGCTAAAGTTAAGCTCCAATGCTTGATTTGCTGTCAGAAAACTGTCTCGAAGTTTCAAGTCTACAAATGTCCAGAAGTGTCTCAAGCATATCAAGCGACTATCGGTAGAAGTTGCAGATTTTTTTATTTGATTGTGTAGATGATATATCAGTGAGAAACGCTTGGAACAAACTTTGAGAAGGAGTAGTAACGACGGCAGAAGAGCATTTATGCGGATCAAAAGACGAAGGAAGCCAAGGATAGGCTTGAAAACCAAAAGATTACAAAAAAAGAGCAGGCTTGCCAGGACCGATAACAGAAAAAGTTTCAGAAGAGAAGTGCAGAAAGGAATTGGACGTTATTAAAAATTAAAACATTAGACTAATATAATGGAAAATGCGGTTCGGAGAAACGATATAAAGACCTTGTTCAGCAAAACCCTCGACTACTTTGATGAAAAGAAGCATTGACTAACATCGGGCTATTAAAGAGGACGGCAATATCAGGTTCAATCTTACAGAAATCGTTGAGATAAGAAGAAAACACTTTGAATTGCGACTAAGCCCTATTATGGCTGTGCAACAAGATTCACTGTATGATATCATACCTATACAAAACTTTTATGCTGATATTGAACCAATGAGCCTTGAAGAAGTGTTAGAAGCTCTAAGCCAAAGGAAAAATTGCAAAGCCTTAAGGATTGCTTGAATCCCGCTGAAGCTAATCGAAGAATCTTGAGCAAACGGACTCGTGGCTGTAGTGAATCTCTTTGGATTGGCACAGCAGAAGGAGGAGATCTTGAACCACTGGATATATGGTGACCGCAACATTTCAGAAAGATTGTTGGACGGATTCAGAATACTAATTGTTTTCGCTATAGCGTTTACGTTTATTACGGTTACTAGGATCAGCGACTCCTGGAGAAAATTTTGGGTGAAGAGCAGTTTGAATTCAGCATGTACACCGGATATTTAAACCACATATTCCCAATCAGACGGATAGTGGAAAAGAAGGGAGAATGAGGACTGACCTACTTTGTAATTATTGTTGATTTCAGCAAAGTGTTTGATTCCATCTAGAGTGACACCTTGTCGAAAGTTGGTGAAAAATACGGAATCCCATCTAAGATTATTCTCATAACT